ACCGAACTTACTGGGAAAGATTCTACTATAATACTTTTTTGTAAACAAAATTAGCTCTTAGTATTAGATAAATACTTCTGACCTTTCCATGACTGTGCTTTTTAGGGTTTTTTAACAATATAAATATATAACATATTTTCTTAAACACCTTTTCTGCTCTTATTAACATAATAGTTTAGTTTATGTTGTTTAATTGTTGAAAACAACTAATTGTTTTCCTAATTTTGACTAATGACTACAATTAATTTAACTTGTTCTTAATTAATTTTTGGATATACCATGTTACTACAGTTTGCCAAAATTTTAATTAAAATATTTTCATTTATAATCAATGTTCACATTATTGTAAACTTATCTTTCTCAGCTTTATCCCCTTGTATGGGCATCACAATAATATTTTATTCATAAAAGGAATCTAGTTAATGTTCTTTATTATTGGGATTAATTTTTGTAGCACATATATCAAATCTTTCTTTAAACATCTGATGAAAAAACTTATAAAAAAAAATTTAGACCAAGAGATTTTTCTTCCTTAGCAATGCATTTATGATTTACTCAATTTCTAATACCAGATTCTTGAGCAGAAAATCAAGTGGATGCTGTCCCTTTTTGCATCATATTTGATAAGAATCATTTCATAAAGCATATTATTGTTTATGAGTTTAATATTTTTTCCTTTTACCTGTTTCTTCTCTAATTTTAAAAGATATATCTTTTGGCTTTCTTTAGGCTTTTTAATGTGCTGGTTTTGTAGGGGGTTTTTTTCCACAATGAATTCTCAAAATCGCTAATTTTCCTTTTATATTTTTTCAATAATATATTTTCTTTCAAGGAATTTTTCTTTCAAGGAATTTTTCTTTTAAAGACTTCTTGGAAGATTCTGATAAAAATTGCTACACTGTCACATTAAAACTCTTGAAAATAATTGCTAACTGCTTCTATGATTTTTCCTTTAGCCAACTCATTGTAAGGATACTCTTACCTCCAATTAGACTCATATCCTTTCATTCATGTTTCCATTACTGTCTACTATTTTTGTTGAATTACTTTTCATAAAGGATATGCTTATTATTTCTGCAACTTTTATGTTTATTTCTATTACATCTTTATTCCATAAAATGTGATAAATTATTTTTACAAGTGCCAAATAATGAAGTAAAATATGTATATTCATTAATGTTCTGAATGATAAAAAACCATAAGTCTTTCAAAATCAATGTAAATAGCATTCAGTTTGCTATTCTTTTAAGAACCTATACACCAAGAGAGACAAAAATGGTAGAGTAGGAGGAAAGCAGTTCCAAGATCTCTCCCACAAGTACTCCCCAAAAAATGAGACAAAATAATGATCAGGGAATCTAAAAAGAAGTAATAATAGGTCATAGTTCCAGCTAAAAGATCAGGAATTCAGTCCATAGGGAAGTGGATGCTCTCATGCTTGGCTGATATGTCATGACAAAGTAACTGGCAAGGAAGCTTCACTCAGCTAATTTAAATCAAAGGGTCCTCAATGATGATCCTTATCGACTATCTATAACTATCCTGCTATAGGTGAGATCAATCTCTTTTTGATAAATATTGAATAAACTATGAATGTCTCATTTTGTTCACATATCAAACCTAACTTATTAGAGAACTAGCTTGAGTCAAGCCCAGACCAGAACAATTGCAGCGGTCTCCCAGGATTGGAACAGAATGAATTCAACTGAAATGGGGGCCAGAAGTACAAAAGAAGATGAGCCTAGATTGGTTTTCATGCTTCTGATTTGTGCTTTTGGTGATTCCTCTATAGATGGAAGTAGCTTCCTGAGAGGCATCCTCCACTTACAGTAGATTAGACAGTAAACTGTGACCTGTGGCTATTCAGCAAGGAGAGACATTATTCTCTGCATCCTTAATGACTATAACTTCAAGACAACTGCAATAAACTGGATGCATGAAATATTCGTTGCTTGAGAATGAAATTATGAGTTTGACTGTGACATTTCTTGCTGAAGTAAATTTGAGGATTCTATTTGAATAGCGTTCTATAGATTCTATTAATCGCTACTTTGCCTTTTTTTCCCTAACTCTTATGCATAATTTTCTGGAACAATAATGTTTTTAAATAGCATTTAAAAATCTTTAAAGCACTTTATATAACAATAACTCTTTGAGGTTGGTTGGTTGTTGTCCTTCATGCTCAAAGAGTACCAAAATGACATCACCATGCTGAAGTCAAGGTACAATGTGTCCAACTGTACCTGATCAGTCCAGTAAGAACTCAGAAGGCTCTACCACAAGTCAGACACAAATAGTCTTTATGAACATTTGGAGTACAGATGTCTGTCAATTTGCACATCTCCCATTTCTTCTGAGCTACTGCAATTCTGCTTTGCTCATTGATGTGGGCACAGTACGCTAGGCAGTCCTCTGCCAGCATCTCCCATGTCTCACAATCAACTCCAAAGTTCTTCAAAGAGACCTTGAAAGTGGTCTTATATCACTTCTTCTGACCTTCATCTGAGCACCTGCCTTGTGTGAGTTATCTGTAAAAATAGTCTTTTAGGTAAATGTACATTTGGCATTCAAACAATGTGGCCAACCTATCAGAGTAGCACTCTCTGCAGTAGAGTTTAAATGCTTGAAAATTCAGCTTGAGAAAGGACCTCAGTGTCTGGTACCTTATCTTGCCAGTTAATCTTCAGAATCTACCTAACACAATTCATTTGGAAGCAATTCAGTTTCTTGGCACAGTGCTGGGATACTGTCCAGGTTTCACAGGCATAAAACAATGATGTCACCACAACAGCTCTGTAGACCTTCAGTTTAGTAGAACTAGCTCTAGCAATGTGTACATAACCTCATCATCTACATAGACATCCCTGGAAAGTTTACTGAATTTATATATTGGAATTTAATAGACTATGTCATTGTAAGGAGAAGAGACAGACAGGATGTGAGCGTGATGAAGGTGACGTGTGGCATAGAGTACTGGACTGGTCACAGACTTATCCTCTCCAAGCTAAATATTTGCATTCAACAAAAGTACTGGCCCCAGGGCAAGACTACAAGTCAACAGATTAGAGCACTTCTTGTGTGAAGAGTTTTTTGCTAACTTGGAGGGAAAGCTGAGCCAATACACAATTGGCAACAGTGGAATTCTATGAGGTAGGTACTACCTTCAAGGTACTACTGTTGGTAGTTAGGTTTACCTTAAAATTAACTTCACCATGGTCACAAGGCTAATAAGTATGGTAAATAGAGTTTAAATATAGATTTTGCTCACTAAAACTAGAATTCTATCCCATATGCTATACTTCCTCTGGGTTATATGAAGACCTTTAATTCTTAGCTTACCTCTTTTCATCTTATGTTCAAGGTCAATTTCCTCATTCAAAAAAGGAATGAGTTGGACTAAGTGACTTCTAAAAAATCTTTTACATTAGCTCTGATATCCTATGATGCCTCATCAGAGGGTAAAAAGAGGTTTAAACCCAAATAAAAAAAATTCCTGGTAAAATATATTACAACGACAAGAAATGGATTATATTTTATGTTACTATTTCCAACAAAAATTATGATTTTCTTAAGAAAGGTTTGTTGCTAGTTACAAAATAATATATCTGATGCATTACAGATTCTAAGAAACTATTATAGTATCTCAAAATGCCAATACAAAGAAATCCTCAAAAATTACTTCATGCCAAAAAGCATAAAAACTGGCATTACCACTAAAAGGAAGAGAATGTCTAATGTACAACAAAAAAAAAATCTTGCTAATTTCCTTTCAAAAAGCCTTTTTTTAGAACACCTGCTAAATCTGAGGTGACCTACCTCTCTAATTAGATGCTAAAAATACCACGTACGCTCAAGAATAATAATCTTCAAGTAAGTGTATCTTATAAAAATATAGAAAGTAAAATGGATGACAACCAAGACAAATCAAGATGCTGACTAACATAATGCCTAGGAGCACAGTAGAAATATTAAACTTCTAAGATAGCACCTAACTTCTTACTGTACTTAATTCCTTATAACATTCATTCAAAAGCATTTAAGTGTCCACTATGTGCAATATACTATGCTAAGAACTGGTGATAAGACAATGTTTAGACAATAAGTGTTTAAGACTAAGAGGGCCTTAAGGCTAAGTGAGAGACGACTTCTGAATGAGTGGTCTAAGAAAGCTTTCAAGGAATAGGCAAATCTTGCTTTGTAGTTTATTAATATTATTTTATTAATAAAAATAATTAACACTGATAATAGTGTTTTAAGGTTTATAAAGCACTTAACAAATATTATCTCATTTGAGTCTCAAATAACTTTGTATGATGTTATTATTACCATTTTACAGAGGCTGAAGAGTTAATTGACTTGCCTAGATTCACAGTTAGTAAGCATCTGTTGGAGGATTCAAATTCAGGTCTTTCTGATCCCAAGTTGAGAATTAATGAATGTTACTTTACTATCAATATTTATACTAACCTCATGCAGATAATTTTATGTGGAATATGTTTATAATTATGCTTTAGAATCACACCATTCAGATCATTATTTTATGGGGAAACAATGCCAAGAACACCTATCCGCTCATGATAATCCCAAAGGTGAGAACGTCCCTAGGCTCCTCTCCAAGAAATGGTCTTAAGTAGTCATTCCTAAGTAGGTGACTGCCTGCATTTTGATGTCTCTCTTAAATTGGCAGTATATGAATGAAAGTAACAGTTTCCTGTTGCTATGGAGACAAAAAAAATTTACATTCCTACTTTTTTAATTGCACTTTACTACCTGTCAGTTCTCTTACTGTGTGTAAAACCAGACATGGCAGAGAGATGAGATGTTTTAATCAAGCCATGACCTTAAATAATAGAAGCATAATTCCTAGGAATCATGGAAAGCATGTCACAGAGATATAAATGCAGAGCAGTAGCACATCTTAATGTACAAGGAAATATCATTTGAGATAAAGAAAGTATAGTAACTGATGTTTCTCTGAAAAATAAGCAGAATTTACTTACACTTTAATGTTTCTCCAGCATATGGGATATGCAATTTAAATCGATCACAACTAGGTCCAGGAGTCAAGGAAGTACAGCTTGAAAAAGAAAAAAAATTAGAAAACAATTAACCAAAATATATTTTATATACAGATGAAAGGGTTATAGAAATAGTTATTCCATTTTCCTCCTTCCAGAGAGATGACTACTGAGAATGAAAGAGAGAGACAGAGAGACAGAGACAGAGAGAGAAAGAGAAAGAGAGAAGAGAGAGAGAGAGAGAGAGACATGGGGGAAGAGAGGAATACATATTCTCGTGGGAATTTGTCTTGCTGGAATATATATAAACACACACACATATAGTTATGATGAGGGTTTTCTTTTCCTTTTTTTTAACAAAAGGAAATGTGGCTGTGGGAGGCAGAGATTATAAATGCACGTAAATATAAATATTTTTAAAGGCATGTTAACAAGAGAGACAGAGAGTATCTTGAAGAAAAAACCTTAATGGCCCTGAAACAGAAAGGTTTACTACTATAGCAAAATAACCAAAAATTTTCCAACTAGTAATATCAAAAGCCAAATCTCAACTTTCAGAACTAAGCTTATAATTCAAAACAATTTCCATCCTTTCAGATCCAAAAATATACCACAAAAATAAAAGAGCGCATTTAAGGATATATGTGTATACAGTCTCTTTACAGTCAGTCATTAAGTACAAAATGAGCTAATTTTGGACTGTTCTATCATACAGCTTCCTTTCTTCTAATGTAAATGCAAAACCTCTCGAATTGGCATATCATAATTTAAACTTGAAAAGGACAATAAACTAAGCTTCATTTAGTATAAAATGAAAATATCTAATCTAGTATCTTAATCATCCAGGACTCAATTAGGAGGTTTTTGAACTCAATTACCTTACAAAAAGATAACCACAAGTATAGATGTGTTACTGAAAAGAACCATCTTTGACGATCATAAGTCATGACTGTCAACAGGCTAACAACATAACAAATAAAAATGTCACTATAAAGTGAATCGGGGAAGCTGTATATTTTGGTTTATTGGGAAAATAGCATTTTTAATTTTTACTAAATAATTGTTATAGTATCTATCACAAACACATAATGGAACTGAAATAGGAGAAGGTAACTTAATAGGGGGCAGAGGTGGAAAAGAATTACAAAGTTAGACTAGAGAATGGGAGTTACCAGGAAATAAAGGAGAGAAGAGGTACTCTCTAAGGCAGTAGAAAGAAGGGAAAAGGGTCACAGAGAAAAAACAAAGCATCTAGAGATTCATCTAGGAAACAGTTTCTTATTGCTGTGAAGAATACATCCACATACAGGACAATACTCTTTTGTAATGTTTTATATCTTGCTGAAAAAAAGCCATTTTAGTACCCTGCCACCTTGGTCTGTCCCCTTCCTCCTTTAGCTATCTGCTCCAGCAACTTCCAGGTGTCTAAAATCTCTCATAGGTAGGCTTTCTTCTTGCTGATATTTTTAACAGAGGGTTGGATGGATGTCACCTTTGGCTCCTGATGAGTATCCCCCTGTCAGCTACCTTGCATCACAGGTAACTATATAGCAGCACAGTCTAGTTCAAAAACATGAGATAGAATATGTTCAACTCTTCAGAACTCAAAAAGCTCCTGTCACTCACCTTTGAAGCTCCTAAGAAAGTTATTTTCTATAATGTGATCTATTTAAAAGGCTAGAGACTCTGAGTTTCCTCTAAGATTTTATTAAAAGATTTTCCCCTTCTCCTTCAGAATTTTTGGTTATTGGTATGGTATAGACAAATCAAGAAGGATTTATTAAGCACCTACTCTGTCAAGTACTCGGTTAAACACTGAGGGTACAAAGGCTAAAAATCAGTCCCTGCTCTCAAGGAACTCACAATCTACTTGAGGAGACACCATGCAAGCAACCTTGTACAAACAGACAGGATAACTAGGAGATAATCAACAAAGGGAAGGTGCAAGTATTAAGGAGGATCAGGAAAGACCTCCTTAAAGGATAGTAGTTTAGCTTGGACTTAAAAGAAGAGAGGGAATAGGGGTGGGGTGGAAGAAAAGACAGACAGGGAGAGAAGAGATGAGAAAGAAGAACATTCCAGGCATGAGAGACAGCCATGGAGATGTCCAAAGTAAGTGGATGGAGTAGCTTCTGTGAGGAACAGTAAGAAGGCTAGTGACATTGAACTGCAGAGTATGTGGGCAGGAGTAAGGTACGATAAAATAGAAAAGGTAGAAAGGGGCCAGGTTATGAAAAACTTTGAATGTCAAATAATATTTTATATTTAATTCTGGAGGTGACAAAGAGTCTCCGGAGTTTATTGAATAGGAAGATGACCTGATAAGAATTGTGCTTTAGGAAAATAAATATGACAGTTGAGTGGAGACAAGTCTGGACTGGGTAGAGACTTGAGACAAGGATATCAACCAGAAGGCTAAAGGATATCAACCACTGTCCTGTTCTGTCACGTTGGCCAATCTCATAGGTATCATGTAGTACCTCAGCATTGTTTTGATTTGCATTTTGCTAATCAATAGTGATTCAGAGCATTTTTTCATATGACTATAGATGGCTTTAATTTCTTCATCTGAAAACTGCCTGTTCATACCCTTTGACCATTTATCAATTGGGGAATGACTTGTATTCTTATAAATTTGACTTAATTCTCTACATATTTTAGAAATGAGGCCCTTATCAGTGAGACTGGTTGTAAAAATTCTTTCCCAGTTTTCTATTTCCCTCCAAATCTTGGTTGCATTGGCTTTGTTTGTACAAAAACTCTTCAATTCAATGTAATCAAAATTATCCATTTTGCATTTCATAATGTTCTCTATCTCCTGTTTGGTCATGAATTCTTCTGTTCTCCATAAATCGGACGAATAAACTATTCCTCGCTCTCCCAGTTTGCTTATAGTATCAGCCTTTATATCTAAAGCATGAACCCATTTTGACTTTATTTTGGCATATGGTGTGAGATTCTGGTCTATGCCTAGTTTCTGCCATACTCTTTTCCAGTTTTCCCAGCAGTTTTTGTCAAACAGTGAGTTCTCAGAAGCTGGGGTCTTTACGTTTATCAAATAATAGATTACTACAGTCATTGACTACTGTGTCTTGCATACCTAACCTATTCCACTGATCCACCACTCTATTTCTTAGCTAGTACCAAGTAGCTGATGATTGCTGATTCATAATACAATTTAAGATCTGGTATGGCTAGGCCACCTTTCCCTGCACTTCTTTTCATTAGTTCCCTTGATATTCTGGACCCTTTGTTATTCCAAATGAATCTTGCTATTTTTTCTAGCTCTATAAACTTGACAAATCAGGATGATGATAAATGTTGAAGAAGATGTGGGAAAATTGGAACACTAATGCATTGTTGGTGGAGTTGTAAAATGATTCAACCACTATGGAGAACAATTTGGAACTACGCCCAAAGGGCTATAAAAATGTGCATGCCCTTTGCCATAGCAACAGCAACATCAGGATATCAATGAAGAGCACACTCTATCAAGGGGTTAGATATCCCTCATTCTTACCACATAATTAGCTCATCTATATTTAAATAATTATATATTTCTCTGATATCCTTTACTTTGGTTCTTCAAAGTTTCTGGTTTGTTATGTGTTGCATCCTGTTCACATCCACTATGCACTATCTGCCTTGCCCTTTATGTGATATTCATTTTTAGTTCTTCAGAGATGGCAGTGGTCCATGAATTATAAACACGCACTACCACCAGAATAATACTGGCATTAAAAAGACAGGCCTTTGTTTTTGAGAGTTAGTAGGGAACAGACAGGCTTTTGTAAGCAATATTCAACAGCAAACCAGATCTTTACCATGAGGCAACTGACTGAGAGATGAAGACTACAATACAAGATTTCACTATGCTGACTGCTGACTAAAAAAAACTTGAATACTGAAGTATAGCAAAATGCCACTTATAAATGCTCTAAGATGTCTTCCATCCATATAGCAAATTTAAGATTCCTTGGAAGAATTAAAAACAGACATAACTCTGTTCAACAACACTTTTATAGTAGAAGATATCTTCCCCTGTTCCCCTAGTCGTGATGTGGGGTCAACTAACTCTTTTCCTAAAAGGTACTGAAATTATCAGAAGTGTTGTAGAAAAGGCCTAACACAGACCAGTTCTCTGGTAGTTTAGGGTCAAGAATGGAACAAGAGTTGGGCTATTGATATGGCTTTCTAGTTACCTAATCTCTAACTTGGCCCAGAGGCTTGGGATGGCAGACACAGCAAAACTGACACTAGACTCAATCCATACAGTGTCTTGGCTGAATGGTCCTTTCTGAATATCCTTCTCCTGCCATGGCAAAGTAAATCTCCTTATCTTAACTGCTAAATGTTCCACAAGTATCATTTTGTTCCACTCTTGAGCCTAAACTGCCAGAGAATTGGTCTAAGTCAGGCCTTTCCTACAACAATGCTGATCATAAATATCAATGAAAGTCACAGAGAGGGAAGTTTATGTTTACCAGGGGCCAGTGACACTAATCAAATAAGATACTCCATCTCTCAGCTCTAGGCATTTTCACTGGCTGTCCCCATACCTGGAATACTCTCCCTCCTCATCTCTCCCTCCTCATTGTTCTTCTTCCAAGTCTCAGATAAAATTTCACATTCTACAGGAAGCCTTTCCTAATTCCCCTTGGTTCTGGTGCCTTCCTTTTGTTGATTATTTCCTATTTATCATATATATATGTGTGTATCTTATATATTACATATTACATATGTAGGTATGTATGTGTATGTGTGTGTGTGTGTATACATATATATATATTTATATATATATATATATATATATGTATACACACACACATACACATATACACATATATATCTTCTTTGCATATTGTACATAGTTGTTTACATGTTGTCTCCACCATTAGATTATGAGCTCCTCAAGGGCAATTCCTGTTCCTTGCCTTTCTTTGTATTCCCAATGCTTAGTACAATCCTTGGCAGTTAGTAGGCACTTAATAAATTTCTACCAACTGATTGACAGGTATTTACCATTGATATGGAGCAGGTGTAGTGCAAGCTCCCAAGA